TCTCGCACTTCCCTCCTTGGATTTTCAGTAATAGGGAACACTAGGCCAATCCCTTCAGCAGAGATTGGTCTCAGAAATGCCCATTTAAATCAGAATCCAATCCTTCTCCCAGAAACCAAGGCAGGGCCAAGCAGCATGCCATTTTCTTTCAGGATCCAATCATCTGTGCACCGCTTGGGCCGGGTGCTCCACGTCAGGCTCCCATCCATGTCCTCTAAGTCACACACACAACCTGGGCCACTATCCACACTTTGGAGGCATCCGAGGCATGCTCCATGAGGGCTATGAGCAAATGCCCAGTTGTATGAGGGAGTGGGGCTAGAAACAGCCATGTATCTTGCAGATCTCCATTAACAGAAGGTGCCTCTCCTTGACCATCTGGCCCATTCAAAACCCACAGCCTGCACAATCCAAATGTGCTCCTCAGACTCATGTTAGCACCAGATGGATGTCCTCATGGGCATCCTCTCTGTGCTGGTGGCTCAAAGCCCTGGCAGCTGACCTGGGTACAAACTTTGCACTCTGAATCCTGGGTGGTTCTACCAGCCACTTCAGGTGTGTGATCCCAGGAAGACATACACTTCCAGAACTCCTCCATTGATTAATTTAGCAAAAGGCCTTGGGCTGCCTTTATGAGTCGGTGCTCTCTGTGGCATTTCTGCCTAGCCTTTCAATATAACAATTGGCCAGAAGTGCCTCGTTGCCTCTCCACAATGGGATGGGGCTTTCTGACGTCCCTTCGGCCTGCAGATAGGTCTCCAGTCTCATGCTCCCGTGGCAGAAGGTGCCCGCCAGCCCATTCACGGTTCTGCCCCATCTCCCTCGTTTCAGTTTGTGGGCATCACCTACGCCTTGGCCGTCCTCTGGCTCCTGGTGCTGTCCTGCTCCGCGGTGCCTGTCTACATCTACTTCAACACCTGGACGACGTGCAACTCCATCGCCAACCCCAGCAAGACTGCTGCCGGCATTGGCAACCTCTGCACTGATGCCAGGATGTACGGTGAGTGGGGCACCGTTGGAACCTCCCAGACTCTGAGCCTTTCTTTAGGGCCAAAGTCCTGGAGATGGACCTAAACATGAACCATGAAGCAGTCTGTTCCAGTGTGGATAAGATGGGATGGACTGGGCTGGAAGCAGTGGGAAATGCATACTGTCAGGTGGATGCTGGTCTTTGGCCAGAAGGCAAATAGGCAAGGTCCACAGACAGGCAAAGGCCCAACGTTTCTCCACACATGGCTTGGTCCCCTTCTGTCCCTTCACGTCCCATAAAACATCCATGCCACACAGTTGGAGCAGAAGGACTCTGCTGTGAAGGTGCCCCCCCCTTCTGCCCAGCCTCATTTTTGTTTGGATTCTCTCCCCGCTTTCAAAAAACAGGAGTCCTGCCCTGGAATGCCTCCCCAGGAAGAGTCTGTGGCCAGAGCCTCCTCTCCGTCTGCAAGACATCTGAGGCAAGTTCCTATTTTCTCCTCTTGAACTTTTCATGCAAACAGAGGAGGAATAAACAACTGGGCCCAATCCTCAGGGCCAACCCAGATACAGGTGCTGAGGGTGGTGGTGATGGGGCCAGTAAGAGCATTACCTGCTCTCACTTTGGCCACAGGAGCAACAGTGCACTCAGTGCCAGGATGGAGGGGATGGGAAATGTGGGATGAGGCCATACTTTGAGGGCGGGCTCCAGGGCTGCTCTCCTCCTTATGCTGGGCTCCATCTGGGGCTGACTCCTCCACCATGACTCCCTCTCTCAGTCCTTGCCTTCCACCAAAGGCCCAGGACCAATGTTTGTGTCATTTCTCTGCAGTTCCAGATGACTTTCCACCTGTTTATTGCTGCCTTTGTGGGAGCTGCAATCACTCTGGTGGCCCTGGTAAGCCTGGCCTTGAGCAGCAATTGCAACGTTCTGTTGGGCGAGTGGGCTTATTAACAAAATACCCTTCTCATAAACGTACAGTAGAGTAATTTATCAGTAGTAGCATGACCCAGCAACAGTATCCCAAAGTGATAAAAATAACAAAAACACAAAGATCAATGTTATCTCTTCCTTAGGAGGCTTTTCTTTGTAGTAAAATAATATAGTTGCATGATTTACAATAACAAGGTTGTGTTTCCACAACACAAATGAAGTTCTTTATACTTCCTTCTTTACTTCCATGCTGGGCTTCTTTCTCATGTAGATAAACAGCTTTGCTCTCTCAGAGTCTCTTCTGAAGCCAAACTTACACAGGAGCTTCACACTGTAGCCTTTTATACAGCAGCCTTCACACTGGAGCTTTACACACGAGGCCTTCAACCTGGGACTTCCATGCTGGGCTTCGTTCTTATGCAGATAAACAACCTCGCTCTCACACCGAAATTACACAGGAGCTTCACATGGTAGCTTTACACACAGCTTTACACACAAGGCTTTTAACCTGGGGCTTCTTTCACTGAAGCTTCTCATACCAGGCCTTCTCACACAGAGGCTTCTCTCTCAAAGACTTACATAGTGAAGCCTTCTCACAGACTGAGACCTTTCTCCCACTGAGGTTTACCTCAGACTGCTACTAAGCTACAGGCACACCTGCTTATATAGAACTACAGCTTTTGCTGAGTCATTGCATCCATTTAACCCTTTCGGTGCTTGACTCACATTTTTGTAATTAAAAAATACCTATTTAATTTTTAATTTTTAACCTGAAGCATTTTCACCAAAGCTTCTCACACACTGAAGTTCACCTCACACCTCTCAGGACGACACTAGCTTGGGCCCACTGACTCTTATCAGTCTTCGGCCTACTAACTCTTTCAGTGCTTGACTCACATTTTTGTAATTAAAAATACCTAGTTAATTTTTAATATTTCTGACATGTTCATAATCCCCTGAGGGTTGAAGGTGGGGCCCCTTTTGCTAGATCTGAGATAGGAGGGGCCAGTGGGGTCCAATGGCGTGAGCCATTTCCATAGACCATTTCTCTCACCTCAAGCTCCTTGAGCCACCAGACTAAAGGCTGATAGGATGGCACCAAGGGAACAACATTTGAAAAGCAACCAGCCAACAAAATGGCTCAGCATATAACCCAGGCATGGGCAAACTTTGGCCCTCTAGGTGTTTTGGACTTCAACTCCCACAATTCCTAACAGCCTATAGGCTGTTAGGAATTGTGGGAGTTGAAGTCCAAAACACCTGGAGGGCCAAAGTTTGCCCATGCCTGATGTAACCCTAACATGCAAAGACAGAGGGTGCATGCCATGTTTTCTCGTGATATCTCGTTTTCTCTCTTTCCAGCTCACTTTCATCATCGCCGCCACCTACAACTTTGCAGTCCTGAAGCTGATGGGTCGGGGCACAAAGTTCTAAGCAGCGAGGGAGAGGCACCGTCGCCACCATTGCAAGATGCTCTCCCCTCCTCTAACTGCCAGGCTTTAACCCGAGACGGCTGCTCCTCCTCCGCGCCAAGTCTCCTCCTTTAACGCCGCTGCCTGACTCCCCGTTTCCCCCCTTTTCCCCTCTAGAAGTTGTTTGGAGCGGAGCGAGCAAGCGCAAAGGGAGACTCCATGCACCCCAAACACACACCTCTCCAGGGCGGATGGACTGTTGCTCCGTGACCCCTTGGCTCTCTCTCTGTCTTGGCCTCACAGTGGCCCAGGGCACCAAAATGATTCCCAGATAGCAAGACAGCGGGTCTGTTTCCTTATTCCTCTCCAGAGAAACCCCATCTGTTATGGGCCGAGGCCGTCCCTGGCTCAGAGAGAGAAGGGCATGAGCTCAAGAAGAAAGAAGAACTGGACATTGCTGGTCACTGCTTGGGTCAGCTGAGGGTGGGGGGTTGGAGCAAGGATCTTTCCAAGATGGGAAGAGAGCACTGACCCCAACCAACCCAAGGCCAACGGGAGCTCCTTCTCCAACCAAAAGCAGGAAGGAGCTTGGAGACCTCTGTCTCATAGTTGTGGAAGGTTGTCCTTTTCTTCACACATTGAGCAGGGAAGAGCCAAACCATTCCTCTCAGGTACCCAATGCTGCCATTACTAACCTGTTGGGCACAAACTGGTCTTCCCCAAGGAAGGGCTCAGCCATAACCAGCCATTTTTGAGCTTGCAGCACGAGAGGCTCCTTTGCCAAAGCGTCCTCCTTTTTGAGGGGCTCTCCTTGCCTTGTGCCTTCCCCTCTTCTGTTGGGACCTTCACAATGGTGCTCTTCTCTCCCTTTGCGTATACCTTTTGCAGTAACACTGTGATGTCTTACTCCCCCTGATGCCATGTTCATCATGAGGGCTCGTCCCCAGCCTGCCCCACTGACTTGGAGCTTCGTTCGCTGCACAAATTGTCTAGAATGGGAGAGTCGCAGGATGAATTACGAGAACTAGAGCAGGCATGGGCAAACTTTGGCCCTCTAGGTGTTTTGGACTTCAATTCCCACAATACCGGCTGTTAGGAATTGTGGGAGTTGAAGTCCAAAACACCTAGAGGGCCAAAGTTTGCTCATGCCTGAATTAGAAGGTCCTCATCTACTTGCATTCCATTATTCCCTTTTGGTAGAAAATTCGCCCTGCTGGTTGCATAGGGTTTATTTACTGGCACAACCAAAATCCTATGGAGCAGCATCAACCATAGGTTTCCAAAGAGGGAGGCAAGTTGAAGAGGTACGGTGTGAATCAGGGAGGAATACTGAGGCCATCCACACGCACAGGGACCAGGAATGCGGGCGGCAGATTGGGACCCATGGGAGTGGGAAGGCAAGGATACTGTCCAGATTCGGGACCAGAAGGGACACCCTCCATCCCTTTCTCTATCACTTTGGTTTCAGTTAACACATAACCAGAACTCATGCTCCCCCCCCCCCCCCTTTCCTCTCCAACTCCCCTCCTTCTCCGGGAAATAAATACAAGGAGAAAAGAAGTAATTAATAAGCTGAAAGTCTTCACTCGTGATCTTGAATTTCAACTTTTTTTTTAACCAAACATAAGGGATTGTGTTTTTAGAGACTTACCTTACAAGGTGTATTTTATAAAAATTAAAGGAAATAAAAGTTTAGAATGTTCTGAATGAGAACCAGTTCTTCTTGCCGTTCCTCCCAGAGTGTTTTGTTGCCTGTGTTTGTGTCCAGGATTAACTCAGGCCCCCTTCCACCTCCTGCCCCATTGAAAAGGGAGGGAAATTGGGTTGACTGGGGGCTTAGACATGACCTAAACCTTCAGAGCAGAAGTTTTCAAACTAGGGGTCAGGACCCCTGGGGGGTCACGAGGGGGGTGTCAGAAGGGTCACCAAAACCCACCAGAAAACATAGTATTTTCTGTTGGTCATGGGGGTTCAATGTGCCAAGTTTGGTTCAATTCCATCATTGACCAAGTTCAGAATGCTCTTTGAGTGGAGGTGAATGATAAATCCCAGCAACTACAATTCCCAAATGTCAAGGTCTATTTTCCCCAAACTCCACCAGTCAGGCATGTAGCGGGGGGGGGGGGGGGGGGGAGGGCCCCCGAAATTCTCATGGTGGTTCGCGAAAAGGCCTTACTGGTGCATTATTTAAACTGTTATGTTTATTCATATCATGATCTGATCACCATACTCAATATATCCCATATGCATGGGGGTATTGGGGTAATGATACAAAAGGTTTGCTAGGCTAGACCCTCTTTCACTCAGACTCAGCCCCCCCCCCGAAATTCAGCCACCCCCCCGAAAAAAATTAGCCCCCCCCCGAAACAAAATCCTGGCTACGGGCCTGCCACCAGTGTTCACATTTGTTCACAGTGTTCACACTTACCTGCCTGCCTGTTTGTTGTTCCAAATGGTTCCCCAGAAATACACCCCCCCCCCCGAACAGCTCACAGAACAGTAGAGAAAGTGCAGTGGTGATGTTTGCATTGCATGTATGGGATGTTTGACTAATACCTGCTATGAGGAGGAAGACGGCATGACTTTCTTTAAAGGGTAGCAGGAGTTTGAGGGTGGATGGGGGAGAGGAAAAAACTCTCAAACTTGTTGGAAACATAAATGCCCAATGTGGTGTGGAAGGAATGGCCATTTGACCAGAGAAAAACAAATCTGTTTGAATGAGTTTAATCTTCCTTAATCAACCTGGGGGTCGGAACCCCTGGGGGTCATGAGGGGGTGTCAGAGGGAACCCGAAAGACCATCAGAAAACACAGTATTTTCTGTTGGTCTCAGGGGTTCTGTGTCAGAAGTTTGGCTCAATTATATCTTTGTTGGGGTTCAGAATGCTCTCTGGTTGTAGTTGAACTATAAATCCCAGCAAGTACAGCTCCCACGTGTCAAGGTCTATTTTCCCCAAACTCTACCACCGTTCATATTTGGGCATATTGAGCATTCATGCCAAGTTTGGTCCACATCCATCATTGTTTGAGTCCACAGTCCTCTCTGGATGTAGGTGAACTACAACTCCAAAACTCAAGGTCAATCCCAACAAACCCTTCCAGTATTTTCTGTTGGTCATGGGAGTTCTCTGTGCCAAGTTTGGTTCAATTTCATCATTGACCGAGTTCAGAATGCTCTTTGAGTGGAGGTAAACAAGAAATCCCAGCAATTACAACTCCCAAATGTCAAGGTCTATCTTCCCAAAACTCCACCAGTGTTCACATTTGGGCATATTGGGTATTTGGGCCAAGTTTGGGGTGATTCCATGATAAATATAGCAGAGTACCAGAAGTAAACTTCACAACCAGCAGAAACTTACAAAGCGGGGAGGAGACAGTGGTTAGCAGGAGGAGTAAAGATAAAGCTCTTTTGGGAAACATGCATGGGAAAGTGGGGAAAGGAGTCCCTCAGCTTTGCTTTGTCTCTTGCTTAGCTACTCATCAGGGACTGGAAACTTGATGATACAAGATTTGTGCAGTCCAGGGATGAAACCCAACACCTACTCCTAATATAGTGGTCTCAATCTTCCTAATGCCACAACCCCTTAATGCAGTTCCTCATGCTGTGCTGACCCCAACCATAACATTATTTTTGATGCTACTTCATAACTGTAATTCTGCTACTGTTTGAATCATAATGTAAATATCTGATATGCAGGGAGTATTTTCATTTACTGGGTCAAATTTGACACAAATATCCAATAGGCCCAAATGTGAATACTAGTGGAGTTGTGGAGGGTAGGGGTGGGGGGAACTGATTTTGTCATTTGGGAGTTGTAGTTGCTGGGATTTATAGTTCACCTACAATCAAAGAGCATTCTGAACTCCACCAATGATGGAATTTAACCAAACTTGACACGCAGAACTCCATGGTCAATAGAAAATACTGGAAGCGTTTGGTGGGCATTGACCTTGAGTTTTGGAGTTGTAGTTCACCTACATGCAGAGAGCACTGTGGATGCAAACAAGGATAGATCTGGACCAAACTTGGCATGGATACTCAATATGTGCAAATGTGAACACTGGTGGAGTTTGGGGAAAAGAGACCTTGACATTTGAAGGGAAAAATGGGGAAAGTGAATGAGATAGAAACTGATGCATTTTTAAATGGGGAGAGGCCAAGGATCAATCAGGGCATGGGGAAGGGGCAGCTTATGGGAGGAGTAACCACTAGAGTGATGGGGAGGAGACTCACAGGCTGCCCAGAAGCCTGGAAAAGTGGCACTTGCCATTTCCTTGCTTTGTAAAAGTTGCTTTTCTGGACTACCTGAAACCTACAAGATGCAAAAGGCACCAAGAGAGAGCAGATGCAGAAGGGCCCACTCTCTCCAGGCTTGGCGTCCTGCTCCTGGGTGGCTTCTCATCTTCTGCTCCCCACCAAATGCAGTGAGGCCTCTGTTTTTCACACCCCACTTGTAGTGTAACGTGGGCCTCTGTCCCGGGTGTCTCAATGAGGCCATTGTCTCAGGCATTCTCTCTCTGTGAAGTGGGTGGGCATTTGGGATGGCGTTTGGGATCGGCTGAGAACCGTGGGCGAAGAGCAGAAGAGTAAACAAGGCAGACTCCTGCTGCCAAAGCCCGCTGACACTGGACCCAAGGCCGGGGGCATTTCTTTGGGAAGGAGCAAACTCTGGGAAGCAAAGAACCTTCCATCGCTACAATCCAACTTACTTTTGGGGCTCTTGCTGAAGCCGCTGGGTTTTGGAGTGGGCCAAAGAGACTGCATCACTCCCCTTTACCCTCTGAGGCAAAAATGACCATGCAAGGGGACATTTTGCATCCCTTTAATACATTCACATTTTTATTGGCTCAAATACAGACTGGTTGTGCCCCTTTCCCTTCCCACTCCTGTGTTGAGCTCAAGCAAATCGACCCCTATTTGCAGAACCGTGAAAAGTGGCAGGCAGCAGGGGAAGCAAGCAAGTGACTGGGAAGTCTATGTCTCCCACTGGCAAAACCAAGGAGCCCCCGGTGATGCAATGGGTTAAACCCTTTTGCCAGCAGGACTAAAGATCGACAGGTCTGAGGTTCAAATCTGGGGAGAGCGTAGATGAGCTCCCTCTGTCAGCTCCAGCTCCCCATGCGGGGACATGAGAGAAACCTCCCATAAGGATGGTAAAACATCAAAACATCCAGGCATCCACTGGGTACATCCTTGCAGATGGCCAATTCTCTCACACCAGAAGTGACTTGCAGTTTCTCAAGTCGCTCCTGACATAAAAACAATTGGCAAAACCCATGTCCATCCCAAAGTCTTCCTGGCTGCTGGACATACAGAGCCACATGAAGGCAGAAAGAAGTCTTAGGGGCCTCTAAGAGGGTCAGTGGATCCTGCATTTTTCTGGATGTGGAGGATGAAGAGAGCTGATGGGGAATCCTTCCAGACTGAAGTCTTCCAATTCAGTGATGTATCCTGCTGTTTCCAGCAGGGCCCAGCAGAGGGCACCCGGCTGTCACTCAAAGAGCAAAGCGGCGGGGTGGGGGGCTAGAATCTGCTCACTTGCTCCCCAGCAAGTGTGGTGGTGGTCAGCAAGAAAAGACTCCTCCAGGGTCACTGACTCCCTCAATAGTGGCCATTGGTGTGATAAAGCATTTTTCTCCCTGGACACAAGATATAAGATGGACAAAATTCAGCATCTTCTGCTCCACTGCAGGAAGATGGAGAAACCTGGGTTTAGCA